TACAATCTCTTTGGAAAATAGTTTGGCAGTTGCTTAAAAAAAAATAAAATATGCACCTACCATATGATCCAGCCATTTTGCACCGAGGTATTTACTCAAGAGAAATTAAAGCATATGTTCATATAAAACCTTCTACAGATTTGCACACTAGTGTTCATAGCAACTTTATTTGTACAAGTGAGAAACCAGAAACCTAAACATCCATCAATGAGTGAATGGAAAAACAAACTGTGATATATATATACACAGTGGAATACTTCTCAGCAATAAAAAGAAATGAACTATTGATAGTTGAACATGGGTAGATCTCAAAATAATTATGTTGAATGAAAGAAGCCAGACAATAAGTACACATGCTGTATGATTTATTTATATAAAATTCTAGGAAATGAAAACTAATATAGAGTTATAGAAAGCAGATCAGTGGCTGTCTGGAGATGGAGAAATTAGTGGGGAAATGGATCATAAAAGTGTAGAAGAAAACTTTTGGAGGTGATAGATATATTTATTATCTTGATTTTGGTGTTGGCTGTACTGGTGTGTGTGTATCTCCAAAATTTATAAATCATATACTTTAAATGTGTACAGTTTTTGATATGGCAGTTATATATCAGCATTTAAAAAATGCTTTGACATGACAATAGTATATATAATCACAATAGTATGTATATTTGTCTTATTTTGTGTTACACTGTGCTATAAAGATACAACTAAAAGGAGAAATAGGCTTGGTTACTTGATGTGTCTGTTGTTCTCTGCCTCTGTTAAAGCATCTCTCACTTCTGCTAACTCTATGTAACAAGCATCTTTTATTTTCTTCCTCTAAAGTCTTCAAAGAATATTCTCTATAGTTAATCTACTCTGATCTTTATACTAAATCAGTTTACAGATTACCAGTGAGTTTCTTCCTGTCAACCCCAAAGCCTTTCCTTCAACCCTGATGCTCCTCAGCTTTCCTGACGTACATGAAATTACTGGAGGGATCCCTGTGTTTGGGTTTTTCCTAAGCACTTGTCTTGGATCTGCATGATGCCCTCTGCCCCACACCATTCTAAGATGGGATTCTTGAGTCAGCATGCAAAAATATTAATAGATCACCCTCCTCTGTGATTGAGTCAGAAATTAATTATTATTGTAAGTACAAATGTTTATTACTGGAGACACTTCACATTTGAATGTGTAACATTTGCATAACTCACTGTTTTAGAAACAACACCAAGTTTTATGAATGTAGTAACCTAGCTGATAAGTTGAGTCGGTAGCATTGAGTCCAATATACGAGAATGAGTCAAATAACCCAATGCAAGAAGTTCCACAGCTGGTCTGCTCCTATATGGTAACAGGATTTTATGTTTCAGAGGGAAAATAGTGTTTTCAGCTTGTGGAATACTGCAAGTTCTTAGGATGCCTTTCATGAATATTTCACCATGTGTTATTCTATGGAAGTTTACCCTTTTCAATACGTATGCAATATTTCCAAGGGATGTCTTAGCTTTCTGGTGTAAAAGCTCTTTACAGCATCTGTGGTTTCTCTCCATATTGATTTGCTCTGGAGAGTGTGTTGATTCACACTCCTTTCACCTGGAAGAGCAAGCGCTCCCTGTGTTATCCCTTTGAGCATCTCCCAGACTTGATTAACCATCTGGTGACTGAAAATCCTGGCCTCACCAATTGGCCGCAGAAGGTTTTGCTAGAACCCTTAACAGCTTGGCATTTCACTGATAATGAAATGAAACAACGCATGGAAAAGGACTCTGGGCATGACAGGATGCTGTACAACAGCAAGGACTTTGTTCTTGATGCCTCCAAGCTTAGCCCCCAAAACTCGGAAAGCAGGGGTTCTCTTAAGAATTCAAAATCAAATCTTGTGACTTGCAAACGCTGCCACCTCAGCTTTGGCCAGATCTTAGTGAGAATTCCCCTCTGTATAGGCTCTGATGGCTTTTGAAAGCATAGAATGCTCTGGTCCAAAGATGGGGAACTAAAGCAGAAACTCCAACTACAGTCTACCTTCTGTCCACCAGCCACGGCTGAGGCTGGTTTCCTTCTGAATCCATGTAAGGGAAACACACTTTGCCAAAAGATGCAAGAATTTTCTTCCAAATATCAGCATTCTCATTTTAAGCAAATAATTCATATTTTTTTCTATTAATATGACTTTGACAATACTCCTTGAGAAATAAAACTCCCGGAATTATGGTGCCAAAGAAGCCCTTGTCTCCTTGGGAATAATTTCACAGCAAATGGTGACTGAATTGTTTGGAGTGCTTCTGCCTGAGCCACCCAATTTGAGCAGGTGCTGAGAGAGTTCACAGCTCACTCACACATACCTGTAAGGCTGATGTTTGGGAAATGGTTGGTTCTGGGATTCAGCAGGCACCAGAACAAAGGGACCAAGAAGGCAGCCATTAAGGGCTCTGATTTCAGTTTAAGATAAATTGTCCTTGAGCATAAGCACACTACCCAGGACAGATTACTGAGAGTAAAAGTGATTTGGAGGGAGCAGCCAATGTGTGGAGTAGAGGGATACCTTAATATGAGGAAGAATTATCAGGAAGAAACTCAACATCTGGTAACACAACAAATATGATAGGGGTAATAAACTATGAACTAAGATGCTTTATACACGTATTTTAATTCCCATCTTACATTTGCTCCTCATTTGGTTCAAGGTCGGGGACCATTTTTTTGTTGTTGTTGTTTATAGCTTTTTAGTTGTTTAATAGGATTCAGTTCACATTTTAGCATAAACATTTTTTCCTGCATTATATCTTTGTATTATTTTGTATTATGTCTGTGTTACTTCTTAAGCAACTAACATTATTCCCATGACTACAGGCAAAGCCTGGAGCCTCTCTGGATCTTGGATGTCTCATCATCTGCTCTATGGAGTCAGTGAAAGAAATCTAAACCAAAAGACCAAAGATGTGAGGTTCTTTTCTCAACTCTGCTGCTAGTTAACTGTGTGATTTGGGGGTATTCATATGTTTAAGGCAACGAAACTTGTTGTTAGGTTCTCCTTGGAAATAGAGCTCCAGCACGCCATGACCCAACTTTGGGCCTTCATTTCTCCTTTGTAATAGGAGGGGGCTGAAAAATAGAGGGTTTTAAAAGTTTCCTCAACTGTTTCATCCCCTCATTTGGGGCTTAGGCAATCGTGGCTCCCATGAACACACAACTCAGGCAAGTACCTGGGCACACATGATCATGCAAAGGAAAGCAGACAGGTCCCCAGAGGAACAGGGCCATGGCCCACAGGGTAAGCCTTCAGGCTGTACTTGGTGGCATGCTGATAGTGTTAGAGGTACATTAGAAAAGCTCCTTTAACCTACTGGCATCTTCTTCTATGAGGAACCGGGTATGGGGGTGCTTCCTATGGTTGCTAGGTCATACAGTGTCTTTGAAAGTGCCTGGTAACTCCAAACAAGGACAGATGGTTGAATTTGCCTCAAATAACCTTGAACTCTTTGTAAAACTACAGGGAAGGAGGGTTTTTTTTTTTTTTTTTTTTAATGGCATGGGGAGAATGAGGGAGGAAAACTGCAACAAACTTCTGGAATCTAGAAAGTTAGTCAATGTTAACTGATTTGCAGGTGGGAGGAAGCTGAACCATAAATCAGCAGCCAGGAGAGCTGATTTATAGCACAGATGCCCTGAACAGCTTAAACAGAACCAGTGAGTACCTCTGAAAGTACAGGCCAAGGAGGAGTCTTAACAAGAGGATTTGTTAAAAGCTTTTTTTTTTTTTCTTTCTTACAGTGCCGGGGATTGAATCCAGGGCACATGCTAGGCAAGCCCTCTACCACTGAGCCACATTCCTAGCCTTTCTGAAAGCTTTTTAGCAGCAATCTGATTACCTTGCTGAGTTTGTGTAATCAGACATCTGCTCCTCCCCTACACTTAGGGAATATTAGATGATTCTCTGCTGAGGCTAAGTGGGAGGTCTCTAGAAGGGGGCACAGTAGGCGTAGATGGAGGTGGGTGCTATAAAGTAGGAGATTAAATAAATACGTTCTCATTGCATTCTAAGAATCCCCCCAGTTGTCTCCACCTTGCTTAGTTCTCAGAACAATGGTAGCTTGGTCAGGCCATTCTCCTGTAGGTAAGAGATTGAAAAGTCCTTAAGGAATATGATCAGCCCAAGAACAAAATCTTCAAGATCTTAATTATGAATTTTCTGATCAAACACAATTCAGTCAGATCACCCTAGGGTTCAGTTCAGTGTTGACAAACCCTGGCTATATATATATATATATATATATATATATATATATATATATATATATATATATCTCCAGTTTCCATTCACCGTAATGAACAAATGAAAAAGGATTACCAGACAGGTGAGGGAAAGTTTCATGTGATGGATCTAGATTAAGAAAACACCAACACAAGAAAAAGACATGGAGAAAAACAGATTTTTTCCCCCAAAGGAAAGGAGCTCTTTAAAAACCTATCAGTAGTATCCAGAGATATAATAAAAATGATTTCAATCTTGGGACAGCAATAGATTGATAGAAACATGGAACTTTCGAAGAAAAAGAAGTTTTAAGTATTTAAAAATGTGAGAGAAAAAAATTTAAAAATTAACCAATTCTCTGGCCATGGTGATGCATGCCTGTAATCCCCACAACTAGGGAGGCTAAGGCAGGAGAGTTGTGAGTCCAAAGCCAGTCTAAGCAACTTAGGGAGGACCTAAGCAACCTAGCGAGACCCTGTCTCTAAATATAATACACAAAGGGTTGGGGATGTGGTTCAGTGGTTAAGTTCCCCTGAGTTTCATCCCTGTACCAAAAAAAAAAAAAAAAAAGACAAATTCTCTCATTATAGTTTGGATCTTAAATGCCCCCCAAAGGCCAGGTGCTAAGGTGTTTGCAGCCTGTGGTGCTACTGGGAGGAGATAGAACCTTTAGGAGGTGAAACCTAGGGGAAGGAAGTTAGGTGGTCTGGGGCATGCTTTGAAGAATGCCTTGGGACCTGGCCTCCTCTTTTCCCCCTACCTTTGCTTTCCAGATGCCTTAAGTTAAACAGACCTCCTCTGTCTCCTCGGTCTTGGGCTCTCCATCTTGATGTTCTGCCTCACTACAGGCCCAAAGGCAACAGGACCAAGTGTCCATAGACTGAAAGCTCTGAAATCTTGAGCCAAAATGAACCTTTCTACCTTTTAAATGGATTTATCTCCGGCATTGGCCACAGCAATGGAAAGCTAACATGTCTCCCAAAATGTAGAGCAAAAAAAACAAAAAACAAAAATAAGATCAAAGAGAACAAAAGTAAATAAATTAGAAGACTAGTCTAGGAGGTCCAATATCAAAAGAGATTCAAAAAGAGAGAGCAGAGGGAACAGGGAGGGAAAAAATCATTAATCAAATAACTTGAGCAATTTCCCAGATCAGAGTGGTGTAAGTTTCCAGACTGACATATAATGGATAAAAACAGATCCAAATCAAGGCATGTTATTGTGAAACCAGAACTCAGGGATAAAGAAAGGATCTCAAAAGATTAAAGGATACAAAGGATCGAATGAAAATGTCAGGAGGCTTCTCAATGGGAATACCAGAGACTAGAAGACAAAAAAAGCAATGCAATGCCTTTAAAACTTTGCAGAAAAATAACTCCTGTATTAGAATTCTATACATATTCAAAATAGCAAGGAAGAACAACAATTGAATAAAGACATTTTTTTAGAAAGGCAAAATCTCAAAAATTATGTTTCCCATATACCTCATCAGGATGCTATGAAAGGATATGCTTTACAATATGAGGAAATAAACCAAAAAGACATGAGATACAGGAAGCAGGAGATCCAACATAAGAAGAAGTGAAGGATAAGTCCAGGAAGGCAGAGAAGAGAAACCCTGGGATGTCAGTTCTGCCCCAATTGTTGAGAACAAACTGTCCACACTGAAGCATGTTAGAGAATCTGGGAAAGATGTTTTCAAAAGGATCAAATTGATAAAAATACGTGACACTGTGAATAGTTTAAGAAGATGTTTTTATAATAAAATGAGGTATGATCATGTCAAAATGAATTCAACTAACATGTATAACTAAATGCACTAATAAAAGCATTTTAAAATTACTTGTTAAGTACCCACCACTACAAGTATAGTTCTGTGTGTGCTGTGTGATCCAAATACTTCATAATGGGGATTTTTAGTTTGCAGTGCATGACACTGTCACTTGATACAAGAATCTCATGGTACAAAGCTAAACATTTATTTACTCTACAACACATAATAAAAATAACTCACGACTATAATAAAATGAGTTTGTGTTTGAATTAGTGATGAGCACCAATAATAATAACAAAATTATTATTCAGGGAAACAAAAAAATATTCAGGATAGGCAAAATCTCTATAGTTTACTACATGGCTTAGCTCAGAGTTGCACTTACATGGTTCGAATAATGTAAATGTCAAAGATTTAACAAAAATTATGACACAATCATATTAGAAAGATCCTCTGGGAAGTGTGTATCCCGTGAGTGTATCCTTCACTTACAAAGTGGCACATCAATTGATTATGCCTAAAGATGAAAAATTAAGGACTACAATGCAAATATTTTATCTAGAGATTAGAAATCAGTAATAAAAACATCAGCTCAGAGTCTTTAGAGCAGTTCTTTTGGAGAAGAGGTAGTGGGGGAACTACTCTTAACAGCATTGGAGAACTCTGACTACTTTAAATTCTTGCTTGCTTCCTTTAATAAAAGTTCAAGGAAAAAAACATTTAAAAATTATAAAAATCCAACCGAAACTGGGTGCAGTGGCATACACTTGTAATCCCAGCGACTCAGGAGACTGAAGCTGGATCTTGAGTCCAAAGCCAGCCTCAGGAACTTAGAGAGGCCCTAAGCAACTCAGCAAGACCCAACCTCTAATAATATATAAAAAAATGTTGAGGATGTGGCTCAGTGGTTAAGTGCCCATGGGTTAAATCCCTGGAGAAAAAAAAAAACTCAAAACACAACAACAACAAAAAAAGAGAACATGCCTCTCTGAATTGTATACCAAGGACATGCTTCACAATATGAGGAAGTAAACCAGAAACAAAGACATGAGATAAAGGAAGCAGGAGATCCAACACCAGAAGAAGTAAAGGGAAAACCCAGGAAGGCAGTAAAGAAAAATCCTGGGATGTCAAAAACACCTCAGCAATAAATATTTTATAACATGTGATTCTGGTCAGTATCATTTGAGTGCTTTGAGCTCAGAGTTGGAAAGTTTGGAGGAAGTGGAAACTGGCCCATTTCTGAGATGGGAGAAGCTACAAGCCACATTTGAGATTCTGTCTTCATTCATAATAAAACAAACAAACAAAAAAAAAACAACAAGGATGTAACCTGGAATTTTGCTTTTAAATGTTTCCATGTAATGATGCTGAGTAAAAAGTTTCACCTTCTAAAATTTCTTATTTTGGATACAAAAGGTGCCTCGAAAAGATGATTAAACCATTAAATGGATGTCCAATCATGAGCTGATTTCTTTAAAAACATATTTACGACTTCAGAGTTTAAACTTTCTAATATGGAAACAAGCCAAAAAGAACATAAAGAAAATGCTTGTAATTCCAGCAACTGGGGAGGCTGAGACAGGAGGATTGTGAGTTCAAAGCCAGCCTCAGCAAAAGCAAGGCACTAAGCAACTCAGTGAGACCCTATCTCTAAATAAAATACAAAATAGGGCTGGGGGGGAAAAAAAAAGAAAATGTCATTCATGAGAATAGTGACTTGGCAAATTCCAAGTTCATCACCTGTCCCCACTGGCTTCAGCTTCTGATTGCGTAGATTCCGGTCTTGGTGTGCTCAGGTGAGAAAGCATTCGAGAGAAGTAAAGGAGTGAATGTATAAGCCTGCCAGAGAGACTGTGAGGAATGGGGTAGGGAAAAGAATAAACATTACATTTCAAAACTCCACTTGAGTTTCAAGAATAACCTACTAAATAAGGCATGTCCACCTGAGTTACTGTGAAAGCTACCGAAAGCATTCCCATGGAAACCACACAGAATGAATACAAGTAATACAACTAATCCCTAAGCCTCTTTTCTTCTTCCTTAAATAACTTCATTTACATTTCAAGCCAACTTCCCCATACTCTTCGGACTTTAATTCCACAGCATAAACACTCCAGCATTGGTAACCACCCAACTGTAATCTGAGCTGGTTGGTCAATAAACCTAAAACTGTCATAGCTTTTCATTTGCATTGCTGAAATCGATTCATGAGAAGATGCCAATGTAAAGATCATCATTCTTGATCACACAATCTTGGTGTCCTTATAGGCATTAAAATTGTGAAAACTAAATGTATAACTTATGCAAAAGTAATTACAATAAAGTTTCTTACAATGAAAGTGAGACATTCTGTGTATTACAAACACTCTACCTTTTGAAGTTTATTTTAAAATTTATGTTGAGTAAGATTTGCTCTTCTTGGTATACAATTCCATTAGTTTGAATGCATGCTTAGATTCATGTAATCCCTACTACAATTAGGATACAGAAGAGTTTCATCACCCCAATCCCCCCAGCCCACGCTGTGCTACTTGTAATCCCTAAATACGACCAATCTGTCCCCAGCCCCATAATTTTGCCTTTTCCAGAATGTCATATAAATGAAACCATTCAGGGTGTAGGCTTTTGTGCCTAACTTCTTTAACTTCACATAATATTTGAGACTCATCCATGTAATTTTGTGTATCATGAGTGCATGTGGGTATTTGCATGCATGTATGTGTGTAATATATATTACATGGGAATGTAATATATATTACATGGGATATTATGTATCATATATATAAACTTTTAATTTTGATGTAATTTAGAGTCATAGTAAGTTGCAAAGATATTACCAAATGGTCTCTTGTATCCATCAGCCAGCGTTCAATGGTTACATCTTACATAATGATAATATGATATCAGAAGCAAGAAATTGACATTTATATCATATTTATCATTTACCACATATAGCCATCGCCTAAATGGTTTAGAATAGGACCATTCCATCACCGTAAGGATCTACCTAGTGCAACCCCCTTATCATTGCCCCTACTCTTCCTTCCTATCTTTCCTAACTCTTGGTTACCACTAACGTGTTATCCATCTCTATGCTCTTGTCACTTCAAGATTGATATATAAATGGAATCGTAGAGTTATGTGACCTTTGAGATTAGTTTTTTTTTCACTTAGTATAATGCCCTTGAGAAGCTTTTAGGTGTATCCATAGCTCATTCCCCTTTATTACAGAGGTGTTTCCATTGCATTGCAGTTTATTTATTCATTAACATGTGGCTGACCATTTGGAGTATTTCTAATGTTTGGCTATTATGAACAAAGCTTCCATAACACTTACACACAGGTGTTGATGTGAACACAGCTCTCATTTCTTTTGAGTAATACCTAGGAGAGGAATGGCTGAGTCACATGATAAGTGAATGTTTATCCTTAAAAGAAATGGCTGGACTGTCTTCCAAAGTGGCTGCACCACTTGTATCCCCATCAGCAATGCATGAGGGTTTGAACCAGCACTTGGTAATACCAGGGATTTTGTTTTTGTTGTTGCTGTTGTTGTTTAGCCATTATTAGAATGTGTGTGAAGTGGCATCTCACCGTTTTGATGTGCATTTGTTGGGATAGATTTGAAAAAAACAAAACAAGAAAACTCAGTTTGAAGGAATATTACTTTGGTTTTCCTGCTTCATATTTGTATTATCACTTACTGAGGAATCTAAGAAAGATCACAAAGAGTTACCAGGTCCAAGGAAAATGGAAAACTTCAACTTCAAAGACTGATATCACTGTTGCCAATAGTCACCAGGTTAAGTGAAGGAAAGGTAATCTAGTTTTTAATAATTACTTTAAGTAAGAAAGGAAGTTTTCTCATACAAAATGTACATTCTGGAAGCATTATGTGAATACAATTTTTATTCCTTGAGTTTAAGTTCAAGAGCACCAGGAATGCTTAATGTTCTAAAGAATCCATTTGTTGAAAAGAATCAATGGAATTTGAGTGGAAAGAGTGTTGGGATGGAAATTCAGAATGCTGTTCTGGACACAATGCCATCTGGTACTAGCTGGGTAACCTTGAACAAGCCTCTTAAACCTCATTAAACCAGTGTCTCC